ACGCTCTCACCGATAACAACTACGACGGACGAACACGAAAGAGGAACAACAATATATAACCCGCGTCGAAATAAATATTATTTAATTATATTATTCCGACGTTGTATATAATTTTTATTGTGCATTTTTCGATAGCGGATTAAAAGTTATTATTTTGTTGGTTTCTTTCTCTCTGTCATTTTTTTTCATTTTTTTATTTTTTATTTTTTATTTTTCTACCTTTTCTTTATTCACTTTCCTCATCATCATCATCATCATCATCATCGTCATCATCATCATCATCATCGTCCATCATTTCATTGTGATTTCTTAAAAGTTTAATTCTAAGAGAAGTCTTCTTTTTATATTGCATATATATATATATATATATATGTATGTATGTATATATATATATATACACGTGTATGTAAAATATATTGAAACTCGACGAGTCGGTGTGTGCGTGTGTTGGTTGGTTGGTTGGTTGTTGTTGTTTTCATTAAACCTTGAGTAAGAAAAAATCCTGAGCTTTGTTTTAAATGCTGTTTTTCTTTGGAGTGGCAACTTCGAGTGTCATAAATGGACTTAACATATTTTCTAAGCTACATATCTCTTTTTACCCGTTCCCTTCCACCCTTCCCCCTTCTTCTTCTTTTATTCTATTAACTTTGTTGTAACATTTGTTTTGTTCTTTTTTTTGCTTTAGACAAAAAAAATAACTCCTCCTTTTGACGCTAATTAAAACCCACCACACATTTTAACGCAGCAAACAAAAAATTTACATAAAGTGTAATACAACATAGAAAATTCGATATTATTATTATTATTATTTTTCTTTCTTTTTTTTTTTTGGTTTCTTATTCTTTCTTCTTCTTTTCTATTATTTTTTTATTTTATTCGGATGAAATTTTGTGTATTAGAAATATTACGAAGAGGGAAGAAACGTTTAAATGAAAGATACACACGTTTTTCCATTTTTTTCCTTTCTTCTTATCTCTCTCTCGTCGTCATTTCCGTTGTAACATACTCGAAGTTGAACGATAGTTTTTCTGTTTAGAAGAAACAAAGAAAAAAAAATATAAAGAAAAAAAATGAGATTTAATTCGAGACTCATTGCGGTTGAATTATTTTCATATCTGATCTTTTTCTCCTTGGGGGGGGGGAAAAAAAAAAAGAAAAGAATTTAATTTAAAAAAATAATTTAAACTACACGAGAAGAAAGCGTGAGATATTTAAAAAAAAAAAAAAACACGTGCTCGTTCTTCTTCTTCTTCTTCTTCTTCCTCTTCTTCTTCTTCTTATTTTTATTATTATTCTTATTATTATTATTATTATTATTATTATTATTCCTAATAATGTCTAATTATTGTACGCGTTTTTCTATTCGTCATTGTATTATACATATATGTATGTGTGTTATGTGTATCGTGTGTGTGTGTGTGTATGTATGCGCGCATGTATATATGTGCCTAATTATAGCCGAAATCCACGTATCACGGTCCCGCGTTTTTAAGTTAAACTAAGTACCAAAATAATAATTAAAATGATGACTGCTATCGTCGAGCAGATCACGATCAGGATCAATTTCTGTGAA